AGCAAATCAAGCTTTCTTGAAGGAGGATGACTCTGAAAAGAAACTCTTTTCTGTTTACCGGCTAAGCAATGAACACATTTCTTCAACTTTGCTTATTTCACTCCAGAAAGAAAATTTTTCTTAGCCAAACTATAATCCCTTTCTCGCTCATATGACTCAGCCTTCTATGTCATAACTCTGATGAAGTATCATTCTCCACCAAATTTACTGAGTCTCTAGACATGGAGCCCTGAAATACATACAAGTTAGACAACTTGTCACCACGGGCCACAACCATCAAACCTCTAGTAAGCTTCCACTGGCCAACACCAAGTATATTACATAACCCTCATCATCAAGATATCCCACAGAATTCAAATTTAAGCGAATATCTGGAGCATGCTTGACATTATTGAGAACTAGTTTGGAACATTGTTACTTTCCAAACAAACTGTCCCAATGCCAATAACTTCAACTTCATGATTATTGCCCATTTTCAACGTTCCAAAATTACCTGGAGTATAAGAAGAAAATAATTCCTTCTTTAACGTGACATGAGAAGTAGAACCAAAATCCACAAACCAGCTAGACTCATCACGAACAAGATTAATGACATTTGCATCACAAGAAACAAAAAGATCATCATTAGCAACAACAGCAACACGATTTTCATTATCACCTTCTCTCTTTTGTTGTCTCATATCTCTCTTGTGCTTGTAACAATATTTCATGATATGCCCTTCTTGTGGCAATAGTCACATGTAATATTCTTGTATTTAGACTTTGACTTGCTTTTACTTTTACCTCTATCATTCTGACCTCTGGACTTGTTTCTCCCCCTATCTTCAGTAACCAAAACATCGGAGTGTGAAGCTGAAGAAGATAAGGCTTGAGATCTTCTTCTCATTTCTTCATTCAAGACACCACTCTTAGAATATTCCATGGTTACAACACCAGTGGGAGCAGAATTAGTCAAAGAAACTCGAAGAGTTTCCCAAGAGTCTGGCAGAGTATTAAGAAGCCAAAGTCCCTGTATCTCATCATCAAACTTTACACCCATTCCGGATAGCTGGTCAAGAACACCCTGAAAATCATTAATATGATCAGAAATAGGAGTACCCTCTTTATACCTGATATTCATTAATTGTTTCAATAGGAACAACTTGTTGTTGTCAGTCTTCGAAGCATAAAGTGTCTCGAGCTTGTCCCACAAACTCTTGGCATGTATCTCATTCACAATATGATTTCTAACATTATTGTCAACCCATTGTCTAATATAGCCACAAACCTACAGATGCTCAAATTCCCATTCTTCATCATTCAAAGACTAAGGCTTATTAGAAGCAAACACAGGTAAATGCATCTTCTTGACAAATAGAAGATCTTTCATCTTGCCTTTCCAAATATGATAGTTACTACCATTTAAACACACCATTTTTCTCATATTTGCCTCCATCATTCAAAACGACAATCAACAATAACCAATGCTCTGATACCACTTTGTTGGGAAAGATAAGGCACTAACAAAGAATGCCTGTCAGGATAACAGCGGAAGAATACCCAAGTCTATACTTTTCCTTCTCGATTTGAACCAAGAGAAGACAAACAACCACAAGCAATATGATAGTAAGGCAGCAAGTAATTCAACCAAATAAATATAACAAGGCAATAATAAACCATCACACAAGACACCAAGATTTACGTGGAAAACCCTTCGATGTGAAGAGTAAAAAACCACGGGACCAAAAGCTCCACTATAATCACCAAGAGTTACAATATTGTTCTTCAAGATTGGACACAAAACAAGTGCCAAACAACGAGCAACAACAAAATAAGATTGCACCAAATCTAGAGAATTAAAGGAGCAAAATCACCAATTTCGCAGCTACTGTTTACGACAGCAAAACTGAAGTTGCAGGCCACCAAATCCAACTCTGTCAGTTCCTAATCAAAGATTGAGATGAAGATAATATGCTTTCCAAAAATCAGCTCAATCGGACAAGAAACGAAGCGGGAATCGCAATTTGAAGTTGGCTGTTAGGGCTGAATTTTGACTGCGAAAACTGCTCTCTTTCTCTCTTTTTGGTTGCTGAAAAACTCTCTGTGTATATGAAAATAAGACCTAAATAGGCTTATATTTGCCTCATAAGAATGGGCCTATGGGCAAAAAAGGGTTGGTCCAAATTGGGCTTTTATTTATCCATATAGGAAGGGAAAAAGGCCCATAACCCAACAGTCAATTCAATACAACTTTACAAATTAAATGACACATTAGGTATATTGAGGTACTAAAAAGACAAAAATATCTCCACATTTAAATTTAAAGACATAAAACACACATGTTGAAGAGACGTTTTCTAATATACAACTTTAAGAATTATAAGACACATAAAGTATATTGAATTATTAAAAAGATAAAAATATCCTCAGATTTAAATTTAAATACATGAAACACACATGTTGAAGAGACGTTTTCTAATATACAACTTTAAAAATTACAAGACACATAAAGTATATTGAAATACTAAAAAGATAAAAATATCCCCAAATTTATATTTAAAGACATAAAACACACGTGTTGAAGAGACCTTTTCTAATATAGTAGAAAAGAAAACAAAGCATCTCCAACATTATAAACAATAATTTTTTGGTTGTTTATATTTCTGCAATTGTGAAATTATGGTTAAGAGCCAATTTGGCATTGCTATTGGGAGCCTATAAGTATTTATTTTGAAATATATATATATTTTTAAATAGAAGCAAAAACGGTTTTTTTGCTATCGAGAATTAGCTAAAAAAATTTGCTTTTTTAAAAAAAGTAAAAATACAAAAACTATGCAGATTAGTTAGTTGCCTTAAATCTCTCAAATTAGTTTAAATGAGAATAAATTTTGATTTAGTTCCTTAAAAAGCTCTAACAAATTGACATCAACATACAAGTTATTTTTTTTTTCAATTTTCACTATTCTTTCAGATTTGCAGCAGATATCAGTTCACTTTTTTTTAGTAATTGAGAAAAGTTTGACGTTGGAAAAAGATTGATTTGCTATGATGGAGAACATTGTGTCGATATTAATTAAATATGGTGGAAGGTGGAATTCATCAGGTTGTTTTTAATTATGATTTGTTGGTTTTGATTATGATTCTTTGGGTTTTAACATGGAGAACATTGTGTCAATTTTTTTTGGTTATTTTAAGATCTGATATAGATTATAGCTTGTTTTTTTTGATGAAACAGTGTTTTGGTATATATACCATATCTGAAAAACAACATATAAATGTATATGTGTTTGAGTTTTAATAAAATTGAGGAGTTGCGTGATACTTGATTTATGAACAAAATATAAAAAAGGAATTTGATGGTACAGTGTATTTAGTCACTAGTCAAAAAATAAATATTTATAATTATATGTCGTTGAAGTATGAAAGTTGTATTAATCGTGTATGAACCTTATATGAAACTTGTATTAATTATGTATGAAGTTTATATTTTATTGAAATTAGAATATATGTTTCTGTTTGGCATATGATGGTAAATATTGATATAATTTTGTATCAATTTTGTATTAAAACTGTAATTTTTTTTATTTAGTTATTTTTTTTGTTTAGTTAATTATTTTTGTGATGATGAAAGCTATATTTATTTTTTTGTTTAGTAATTCTTTTTGTTATTTGTGGATATGTGTAATATTAATGGAATTATTAGTGAAAAAATAGTATAAAATTGGTTGAAATATGAAATGCTAGTTTGTTTGTCTGTTTCTGATTTGTAGTGTAATGTTTGCATTTTTTTTACATTTATAGTATGAAATGTGTATTATTTTGGTATTAAATATTTTTATTTTATTTTTAATGGCATATTTTTTTGGAACTGTTTTTAATGAGCATTAATTTTTCATGTTAGGTAATACCATCGACGGTTGATATGTATGTTGTTGTTGAAGGACCAAAGAAGTACATAGTAAATTTAAGTACAAGGTGTGTAGTTGCGGGATATTTCACCATTATGAAATACCATGTGATCATGTAATTGCAGTTCTTAGATACAACAAACTGCATGAAACATATTTGTGTTCTGTCTTTTATGGCCTGAAGAATTTCAGAGGTGCATATGTCATCCCTGTTGAACCTATCTCATGCGAGAGTACGTTGGATATACCCAGTTATATTTCAAAACCTAAATTGATGGCACTCGGTCCAAGTAGATCAATTAGAAAATCGCATGTTGAATGTTGGATGGAGTTTGCTGATGAGAAATTCAAAAGGTCAAAGGTTACTTGTAGTAGATGTCGTCAAGTTGGACATAACAGAAAGACATATTCAAATTATCCTGTTAAAAAATGGTTTCATGATTTTTACTTTTTGTTACACAACATGTTTTGTTTTATGGAATGAATTTGGTATAATTAATATTTGAGTAGTTGTGATTTCTTCATATTATCCGACTATCAATAACATTGAAACACATTTTGTGTCCGTTTTCAAATTTTATTCATATACTAATATATAATCAAACAAGAATTGTACATAGTTCATACAAAAAGCATATATATGGAACAACTTATTAAACATATAATTTTAGAGTAAAACTCTTGTTAAAACAGTTCAGACATAGATCATACATAGTTCGTACAAAGTTCATACATATAGATAAAAAAATGTATGATAGTTGTCATAATAAAACTATAATAAATCAAAAATGTGATATCATGTTCATACTAATAGTAATCAGACTTCATATATATTTCATCCAGATAGTAATCAGACTTCATACATAATCAATAATGGAAGAAAGATAAATACAAAAAAGCCAACAAATTAGAAATGTAATGTCATGCCCATACAATTAGTAATGAGACTTCATACAAAAAAACCAACAAATTAAAAATGTAATGTCATGCCCATACAATTAGTAATCATACTTCATACAAAAAAGCCAACAAATTGCCCATACAATTAGTAATCATACTTCATACAAAAAAGCCAACAAATTAGATATTCTTTTTGTATCACCTAACATGGAAAATCAATGCTCATTAAAAACAGATCCAAAAAAATATGCCATTAAAAATAAAATAAAAATCTTTAATATCAAAATAATATACATTTAATATTATAAATGTCAAAAAAAATAATACAAACATTGCTTTACAAATCAGAAACAGACAAACAAACTAGCATTTCATATTTCATACCATATTAACATGCAATTCAGACAACTAACATCATGTTGATCAATTTTATACGATTTTTTCACCAACAATTTCATTAATATTACACATATCCACAAATAACAAAAAAATTACCAAACAAAAAAAATACATATCATACAATCTTATAACACTCTTAATATAATGAATTAACAAAGATTACTAAAAACAAATCAAAAAACTATAACAAATATCAACATGACGGATCCCCTCTGCCACCATATTTAATTAATATTGATAAGTTATTGTCCATCAAAATAAATCATAATTTTTTTCACATAAAAAAAACTCAGTCAAGAAAAAAAGGGAGTAAAAATTATGCAAACAGGAGAGTGAGAAATGTGATAGAGAGAGAAAAAAAAGAGAGAAAAAAATCATGTTTTAATTTGATTTAAATTAATTTGAGCATTTTAAGGAAACTGAATAATTTAAATCTTTTTTTATTTACTTAATATGTGTTAATTTGTTAATTATTCATTATTAATTAAAATTTATTCAAATCCAAAATTGGTGCTACTTACCAATTAATACATAAACGTGTTTTACCTTTTTATTTTATTTAAAAATAAAATAAAATTTAAGTATAAAAATAAAAATAAAATTTGAAAATATTAATTAGTATTTAAATAATTACTTATAGTTTATTTTTAATTAAATAGATTTTAATTGATATGCTATAACTTGATAATAATATGCTATAAGTGATTTATTTTTAAAAAGTATGTTTATAACTCGATATATATAGACTTAAATGTGTATGAGGTGTTATTTTTTTTTTAGTTTTATATAATAAGTTTTATATTTTATTTTACGTTTATGTATTATTATTTATTTAATTATTTTATAGTATTAGAAAACAAGAAGAAGGTAACAATAATATTTTTGTAAGATTAGAAAAAAAATGACAATAAAAGATTTCAACCCTTCAAAATATGTGTAATACTAATTGAAAAATTGAATATGAGCATTTTAATTTAATAAAAATAAAAATTCAATTTAATTTAATTTTGCGTGATAGATGTTTAAACTAGTTTTTTCTATAAATTAAATAATCTTAATATGAAAAGTACATTAATATTTGTACTTTATCATAATTTGACTCTCAAAAGCATTTTTTAAAAAAAGATTAGCTAGACACAATTTGTTTATAAAAAATACTTTTCAAATAAATTCAAAAAGCATTTTCCTAAAAAGCTATTTTAAAAAAGCGTTTTTAAAAATAAGCAATTTTTAGCAGTAATACCAAAAAGGCTCTAAGTTTTTCATGATTGTCTTTATTCTTGTTTTGTTGGCCTTTATAACTCATATGGAGGTTGAAGCTGGTGCAAATGGTGAAAAATCATTTGTTGGGGTATTTCCAACCCTACATTCTATTTTACTCTCCAAATATAGAGTTCTTTATTTTTTAGACGATCAACTCCAATTCATTCTGTATTTTACTCTCTAAAAAGAATTTTTTGTTCTCTTCTCAATATTATATTATTTATTTCTATTTCCTTTTTTTTTCCTTATTTCATAATATAAATCTTTTTTTTATGAATAATCATCCTATATAATTTCATGTAATATAAAATTTTAATTTTTTGAATTTATTTATATAATATTAAATTATATATTATTTTAAATTTCTAAAGAACAACGACGAATAATTGAAAAAAGAAATCAACAAGCACGACCGCAATCACAATCACAACTTTTTTATATCATAAACTAATTCCTTTTTCGAATATCGTTAAATCTAGAAACGACTTAGCGGATTATTAAATTATTGTTGTGATTTTTAAATTATTATGTTATGCATTGTATCTATTGTTATCTTGTATTTAAATTATTATGTTATATATTATATCTTTAAATTAAAATTTTATCTTATTATCTAAATTTTATGCATTCTTCATAGTGGAAATTAATATAACATCATATTGTATCACAAAGTGACAAAAATTAAAAAAATATTCAAAATATTATTAATTTGAGATGAAAGTAGTATATATAAAATAAAATATTTTTTAAAATGTTATATTAAATTTAAAAAGAATTGCATATATTAGAGATTTAATTAATACTCTTATATAAAAAAAATAATATGTTAATTACAAAAAAGTAGAAATAATAATATAATATTTCAAAAGTGAAATAGAGAGTATGAATAGTGGTTCTCCAAATTCGGAGAACTACTATTCAACTCTCAATTGGAGAGTAGATGGTAAAATAAAGAGTTATTGGAGAGGACATTCTCTATTTTACTCTCCAAATATAGAGAATGGAAAGTAAAATAGTGTTGGGTTGGAGATGGTCTGAGTCGTCTATCGGGTGGAAGAGTATCAAATGATGTTGTTAATCGTACTACTCTATTCCTTTCTATTATTTACAAAATCTTTCATTCACTTTGCAAAATTTAGCTTAAATACGTCATTAAATTTTGAGAGTAAGCTCTTCTATGTCATTTGTTAAAAGTTCGACTCATTTATAATGATATATTCATTTGAAAAAGGTTCATCCATGTCATTATTTGTTATTTAAAAATAATTTCAGTTTTACAAAATTATTTTTTTGACACGTGGCCAATTATGATTCTGTAACATCCCGCCTTGGAAGAACTAGAATAAGATAGAAATATTTTTGGAAAGAGTAAATTTGGAAATTTTGGTAAGTTATGTTACATATGAGTTTTGGGTTAATTTCAAACGATCATAACTTTCAGTACATAATGAGTTAGGTGACCCATAAGATACCAAAGGAAGGGTTTTGGAATCTCCTCCCGACACCACCAAATTTGCTAATTTTCGAGATTGTACGGGGAAGATATGATTGTCTGAAGTCGGGCTGTCTATTTAAAGAAAGTTACCCGGATTTAAGAGGAGTATTTTGGTCTTTTTTACCTATCAGATTTAATTTATTTTTAATAATTATTTAGGGGTTTAGACTGATTTGGTTCAATTTACACAATCCTAAATTACACTAGGTTTTATAAAAGAATTCAAGAAGAGAAAAGAGGAGAAAGATCAAGACGTTCATCAAATTCTTGCAAAATCGAAGGTTTTCTTGTAGATTTCCTCCAAAGGTTTGATCACGAAGAGGTATGTGAGTTCTCATAGTGTTGGGTTCGTTCATCCATACGCTAATCATGTTATTTTCGGTGAAATTCGTTTCTTAAAGCTGAAGGACTTGAGTTCTTGATAAGTTTTGTTGATGTTTCTTTCATATTCTTGATTGTTGTGGTTTTGATGAATTCTTGAGATAAGTTTTAGTGTTTCAAGGGTAGTTCTGAGTAGATTATCGTATACTAACATTGATTATTTTTGAATATAAGTGATTGGGGAAGAAATCATTCGATTCTAGGCGAATTGGAGTTAGAAAACAAGGAAGAATAAGTCGGACAGAAAACAAAGAACCAGGTTCGCAATCCTTCATAGTGAAACTTTCCTCTCTGTTTAGCGGAGAGAACGCGGACTCTGCTGTTTCAAAACTTATTTTAAGACCAAATATGCATCTCTACAACACAGACTTGCTCCCAGATAGTGTTTCTTTAATCGTTTCTCAATCTCATGATCAACTATCTAAAAACACTCTTAATTATCATGATATCCTTCCTATCACAAATCGTAACCTTGAATTCATAATTCAAATTTAAGGTAGAGTTAAGAGTCAAGTCCTAAGAGTTCTTAAAGTCATTTTAAGAAGTCATTTACAAATCTTTTAAATGTGTTTAAGACTTAAGCATTGAGATTGAGGAAGTTTAGAAATGAGTTTATTTTCTTTAAAATGATATATGAGAACTAAATATTTTTCAAGAGTAAATGTTTTCACATATAAGATGAGAGGAAACACCGATTTTCAAAAAAGTTTTCATGAGCAATTTTGAGTATCATCTCTTTTAAGAGATAGATTTTTGAGTTATAATCTCAAACCACAGAGAAAGTCATGTTTTTAAGCATATGAGCTAGTCTCATTTTGGGAGTAGTATTGAGCACCGATACGAGGACGAGTTCAGATAACTCACAGTCTCCATAAATCATGTAGCCAATGTGGGTAGAAAGAGTCATACTTTTTAGATGATTCCTTAATGCCTTTTAGAATAGACTAGTGGATCTACTTAGTTAAGGAGTTCTATACCCCGTCAAAATGTAAGACAGTTCTGGCAGCGTGCGCGAGACAATATATCATCACATAGCTCATAGTGATAGTTGTCGGTTAGAGAATCTCCCACTTGTATTTTCCGATAAAAAAAACTAAGTTATTATTGTATCTTTCAATACACTGAGTTGTTATATATCTTCATGTTAATATTGCATCTTTATTACTGCTTATATTGTAATGAGTTGAGTTTAAACGAGATAAGTGTTTCTTTCAGTTCTAGTTCAAGATGATGTCATGTTTAGATTTCCCCTCACATGCTCTTACATTTTATGGTTTGTTAGCATTATTGGGATGTTTTTAAAAGTATAATAATATCAGAACAATGAAAATTATTTATATTTTTCAATTTTGATTTAAAATTAAAAAATTCCCATCAATTTGGAAAAATAGTCATTCATTCTTTATTCTATGTAATACCTGTTTTATTCTTGACATTTTCAATCTCCAATTTATATAAACATCTTTTTTATTCATAAATTTACAAGATTGAAGACTTTTTTAAAATTTGTTATTGTTAAATTTTTTCATATGAAATTATTTGTTATAAAATATTAACTCCACCCTTTTATTTTGGGGCGTAAGATAACTTGACTTTTTTTTTGTTAGCAAGTCTCTAAAGATCCAAAATTCAATTCTTCAATTTGTGTTATTTGATAAATTCTTCAAGAATCATGAAAAAATATTTGCATTATATATTATTAAAATTAAATTATTAAAAAAACATTTTTCCTAAACAACATTATTCATTTTTAGGACTAAATATTTTATTTTGAATTTTGTTTTAGCACACAACGGTAAAAGATTACCATTAGCATTGAAACTAATACAAATAAGAGAGTTCGGAACCAAAATAAGCCACAAAAATATAAAAGTAACTAAAATAAGTCACTATTTTGGTAAGTAACTAAAATAAGCTGAGTGGAAGAAAAAGTTCCACTATATCCAATTTCCTAAACGTTTTTCGTTACTATAATAACGTTTATTTTTAATATATAACGAAATTTTTTCTTCCACTTTATAAAGTGAAACTTTTTATTCCACTTTATAAAAAGTTACATTTTCATCTTCATCTTCACCTTCACCTTCTCTCCCTTTCCTTTTCATGGCTTCCGGAAAGAGAATTCACTTTGAAGATGGTCCCATTCCGACAATTTAAAGCGGTCCCACACTAAACAAATTAAAATTTTGGAGTAGCACAACCCGACAACATACAACTCATATTCGTTGTTTTAGGTGCAAAAATAGGTAAGATTGCAGCCTTGTACTTGTAGGAAAATTTTATTAACCTTAGACTTAATTTAGTTTTGATTAGGAAGACATCTAAATTCATTGATAGAAAACTTTAAGTTTATACGTCCTATAAAAGTTTCAATAGTAACACTACTTCAAAATAATATGAAACAAAATAAAATAAATTAAGAAGCAGATTATCGTAAAATATAAGACAAGATAAAAGTATTTATGTCATAAAGTACACATATCTTTTTCAATATAAATAACATCATTCATGAAATCTTCTGGTTCATGCCACGTAGGTTGTGATGTATATTCATCATGTGTATCACCAAAGATATCTGGACAATCCGAGAGATGATCAAGATAGAAATTTCATGATTACAAAACGGACTCATGGGCATTGGTCTTGGTGATCGATTGGGAGTCAAAAAAAATCAGCATCACTAGATGATGCCTCAAATGGAACATTATCTCCTGATTCCTCAGCATTAGGAAAATCATCATTATCATTAACTAAAGGTGAGCCGTAATTAGGAATGTCACGATCATCGATATTCACAGGATCAATAGGCTCATCTTGTGTAGTATTTTTCCTATATATGTAAAAAAATATATAAATATTTGACTCATGCAATTAACTTACTCAAATAAAAAAAATAAGTGTTAGACATAACGATAATCATCTGCATCAAAAGTAGGCGAGACATGAAAATTGAAGGATGTCCCAACATTTTCTGTCATTTCAAAGTGTGAGGACTGACCATAATAGTTATTTAGTCCATTACTTGGAGCAATATCCATATCTTGCTGAGGTAAACCGCTACAAAATATATAATAATAAGAATAATAAATAATATAAATAATGGGATAAAGCACACATACCTCCTCAACCTATGCCCGAAATCTCAGAGACACATTTATACTATACTAAGGTCCTATTACCCCCTGAACTTATTTTATAAGTAATTGTCTACCCCTTTTTAGCCTACGTGGCACTAGTTTGAAAAAAAAAGTCAACCATTGTTGGACCCACAAGATAGTGCCTCGTAGGTCGAAAAGGGGTAAAAAATTATTAATAAAATAAGTTCAGGGGGGTAATAGGACCTTTGTACAGTATAAGTGTGTCTCTGAGATTTCGGGCATAGGTTGAGGGGGTACTTGGGCATTATCCCTAAATTAATAAATAATTGACAAAATCAACAAACAATAATTTTAATAATTGAGCATTACCGATCACTATCATTGATAGTTTTGTTTAAATCAAAATCATATTGACCGGTAAGAGTATTTTGATAATGAGTCATTTTAGGAAAATCAGTAAATTGAGTTAACGGAGATCCATCAATACTATTACGATTTTCTAATTAGGAACGAACATCGACTGATAAAGGAGAACGTTGTTGACTAATCTTAGGCTCCTTCCTAACATAGATTTCAAGTTTTGTTAACTTGATTTGATCTATATAGTCATTTAGAACCCTCAAAAAGTCGGTCAACGATTCATTATTATAGATAATTCACTCTCCAAAATTTACTTGTCCTTGTGATAAAAATGAAGTAGGGTATTTTCCGGCTATAATCAAATTATAATCGTACTGTTTTTACCATTTTTTTTTATCAATTTATGATATCAGACATTTATTGGATATTTAGCATTGTGTTTGGGAGGACAATTATAATAAACGGTATTTCTGTCATGTATAATTTCGCCATCCCAATAAATTGAAACTTAACTTAAGGTGTAGAAGACATTTTTTTAGATAGAAATGAACAAATATAGAAGACTTTATGTTGTAAGTGCTATCAACTATGTATAAACGTCCTTAAATAGATTTTTCAGAATTAAAAATAAAAATACATAATGAAATATTCTTTTCCATTTTAATGACATATCAAATCAATATAATTTATATGACAACACTGAAAAAACTTCTTCAAGACGTGAAAAATATTCTTCTTATAAAGTGTAATAAAAAGTTTCACTTTATAAAGTAGAATAAAAAGTTCCACTTTATAAAGTGAAAGAAAAAACTCCACTTTATAAAGTGGAAGAAAATGTTCCATTATATATTAAAAATAAACGTTATGAAACTAACGGAAAACGTTTAGATTATTGGATATAGTGGAACTTTTTGTTCCACTAAGTTTATTTTAGTTACTTACTAAAATAGTGACTTATTTTCGTTACTTTTATATTTTTGTGGCTTATTTTGGTTCCAACTCCAAATAAGAGCATCTACTACTACTAATAACATAAATATTGTTAGCAAGTCCTTGTTTTCTATTAATGCTGAAATAGTTTTTTTTTAAAATAATAAAGACAACGGAAAATTATACTATTTATACATAATTAAAATAATTTCTTTATGTATATATAGTAGATGTCGAACCCCCTTCGGCTAATCCATATGTCTAACTTTACGAATCGTAAACCTCCTTATTGAAAATCCTGGCTCCACCACTAGTCGAATCTCTTTCGATTACTTCATGTATCTATTTTTTCAGATTTTAAACTCCTTATTAAAAATCCTAACTCCACTATATATGATGGTAATATATGTCTAATTACGTAATTTTTCCTATTTAAAAGTATTTACTAAATTTCCAAAATTTCTTGTTAATTTAAATTAAGAAAGCAAATCGAAACAAATAAATAATATGATTTTTTTTAATTTTTCATCCGATGTCCAGTATTCACATTGAAGTCCAACTAAATTCGAAATACATTGAAGGTAAAACACTATCTAATAAAGACAATTCCTTATTCAAAAATGCTCAAATCCAAGACCTTTTAATTAAAAATGAAGAAGTACTTATCACTCTATCACACGAGTGATTCGTTATATTAATATAATTGATTTACATATGGTTGTGTGTAAGGTCAAAAATAGTGGCTTAGGACAATTAAACGAATTCTTTAACATGCTAACATTTCCCATGTACTTTACTAAATAAATATGGTTGATTTCTGCTGACTAAACTGAAGTTAGTGTAAACACATGTCGGCCTCCTCCTTCTCATAGACATTTCTACAAACAGTTGATGGGCATAACAGAGGCAGCAACTAAACTGTAGGGAGAATAAAGATGGCAGCTTGTTCTAGCAAAGGAGGGTGCCCAAGTGACTATGTAGCGCTTTCAGCTGCTCTACTGTCCATGATCTTGTAAGTTCTCTGAATTTTTTTTTTGCTGGTTGTGGAAATTGTGAAGTCAAATACTTGTGGTTTGTGTTTTTCTTGCTGTTTCTGATTGATAGGTATGCAATCTTGGACAAATTGAGAGACATTTTTTTTTCTTTGATATTGTAATGAATTTGGATTTTGTTCGGAACGATTTCTTCTCTTTGTCAATAAGGCTGATAAAAGATGGAAAAGATCAAACTTTGGAATATGAAGCAAGATTGGCCTCCTTTTTGATTAATCAGTTTGATGAAGGGGTGAAGAAAGTTGACATATAAGGATTTTTTGTGTTCACAAAATTTATTTACTTCTAATTAGGTCAATGAATTAGGGGTTGGAAGATTGTACGTCTCTAGAGCTTGCTTTGCGTTTATTTGCCTTGCTTTCACTTGTCTTCTTCCCACTTAAGTATGACAATGGGGCAAGAAGGGGAAGTATAACAAGGACGTGCATAGTGTCGGTGTTATGAAGTGAAGATCAGTGAAGCGAGGTGGGGATTCGATATCGGAACAAGGCGACAGCAGTAACTGTAGTAACTGAAATTTGGAAGAAGGAACTATCGTTAGAAAGGAACGGCTAGGATTTAATGAGAAGCGATGGTGAGGATGATGCCACGTAGATTGAAGGTGGTTATATAATAGTGGTTAGAGGAGAGAGAAGTATAACAAACTATTGGGAAAAGTCACGTTTCTTTCCTCTCTTCTTCTCACGTTCCCTTTCTTTCTGTTTCTCTGTTCTCTTCTATCTTCTTTCTCTGTACTTCCTTTTGTTCTCATCCTTCTTCTTCATTTTGCATTTACAGCTTTTCTATGGAGGTTACGAAGTTCTTAGTTGATAGTTCATTACGTGTAATTGAGACTTCCTATTATCAATAAAGTTGGTCTGGTTTCTGTGATTTTCAATTCAAATTGTAAATTGAATTTGTGGTCTTATTAAGGTCATAACAGTTGGTATCAGAGCCTTCGAACCTGTGTGATGGTTGAGGGTACACATTGGAAAATTACAGAGGATAAGCTAACAAGACACGATGAAATGCTAGCTGATCTGCTGAATTCACAAGAGGAAGTACGTCATGCTCAAACTGGAATTCAAGGAACATTGGACTTAATTTTGGAGAGATTGGGAGTGTTGGAGAGAGCTCAAGTGGTTCCGAATGTGGGAGCAGGTTTACTACCTATTCCAAATGTGGATAATCGCAACAGAGCTCAGCCGAATGCAGTGACGTTACCTAGGTGGGAGTTACCTTATTTCGCAATCAGGAATCGAAGGTGTGGATCCGAAAGTGTGATAGATTTTTTACACAGTACAGAGTGGGCAATGAACAGAGGGTAGAAATGGCTACGTTGTATTTGACCGATGCAGCCAAAGTGTGGTATCAGTCGATGGTGTTAAGTGGAGGAATACCGAATTGGATTGAGTTTAAAGAGGATTTGATAAGTAGGTTTGGGGAAATTGTAGTGAGTGATGTGGTGGAAGAATTTAATAAATTGCAACAGATCGGAACTGTGGAAGAGTTTTTAGGACGATTTGAGGATCTAAAAGCTCAAATGCTTATACGAAATCCAGCTTTGAATGAAGCTCACTTCCTATCTAGTTTCGTTGGAGCACTAAAAGAGGAGATCAAATTAGAGGTGAAAATGTTCAAACCGAGGACATTGAAGGAAGCTGCAGAGAAAGCGAGAATGAAGGAAATGGCAATTGAAGCTGTCCGAAGGAGAAACAGAGTAGCAAACCGAGTGTTGCCGGCAGCTGTGCAAGGAGTAGGAAAAACATCTACTGCTATGGTTAATAGGAATGGACCTTATCGGCTTACTCCTGAGATTTACGAGTTTAGGAAGTCGAATCACTTGTGTTTCCTATGTGGAGAGAAATATGGTCCGGGACATACTTGTAAAGTAAGGCAGTTGAATTATTTGACTGGTTTCGTTGAGGGTGATAAAGAAGGCGATCAAGTTTCAGAATTGGATGAAAATGAAGACATCACCATTGAAGGAGTAGTTGAACAGGAGGTACAACAAGCTGTTTGTTTAAATACACTGACGGGCCATAATATGGGAGAAAATACAATTCTGGTGGGAGGAACTGTTAAGAAGAGACATTTGGCAATACTGATTGATTCGGGAAGCACTCATAGTTTCATCGACAAGCATACATTAGCTGCATCGGGTTATAAGCCTCAGCCTTGTTCGCCTGTATGAGTAACTGTGGCGGATGGCAATTATGTAATGTGTAATTCTCATTGTAGAGGGTTTTGTGGAAAATGCAGGAAAGAATTTTCATGGACGATTTGCTCATTATTTCTTTGGGAGGCTGTGCTTTGGTGTTGGGAAACGACTGGATGAAGAAACATAATCCAACTAAGTTCGATCATGAGAGGAAGTGTGTGACTATAGGAAGGAAGGCTAATAAGTTGGTGCTGCCAGGAATAGCAGGAGAAGGTAGTTTGAATATGCTATCTACTGGATCAATGCGAAAAATGTTGAAGAAAGGTCAAGCTATAGTTGCTCATCTTTTTATGATGAACATGATAAAAAACAGTGAGGATGAAGTAATCGAAGAGGGACTGCAGGAAGTGTTAGATAAGTATGGGGACATCTTTGCGGAACCAAAGTCTTTGCCACCGAAGAGATTGTTTGATCATGCGATACCCCTCAAACCAGGAGCTGTACCTATCAGTTTGAAACCCTATCGGTATAATTTCCATCAAAAGAATGAGTTGAAGAAGCAAGTAAAAGAGATGTTAAGCAGTGGAATCATACAGGCTAGTCAATCACCTTATTCATCACCGGCATTGTTAGTAAAAAAGAAGGATGGTACCTGGAGGTTCTGTGTCGATTATAGAGGGTTAAATGACTTGACCATTAAGGACAAGTATCCAATACCAATTGTTGACGATTTGTTAGATGAACTGCATGGAGCGTCGATATTTTCTAAGGTGGATTTGAGAGCTGGGTATCATCAAATTAGAATGAAGATGGAAGATGTCCACAAGACTGCATTTCGTACTCACATGGGCCATTATGAGTTTCGAGTAATGCCCTTCGGACTCACTAATGCCCCAGCAACATTTCAAGCCTTAATGAACCAGATTTTTCAATCGTTTATCCGGAAGTTTGTCTTAGTATTTTTCGATGATATACTAATCTATAGCAGAAACAATGCAGAACATTTACAGCATCTGCAAGTGGTGTTTAATATTTTGAGAAGGAATGTGTTGTTTGCAAAGAGATCTAAATGTTCTTTTGGTCAAGCTAAAGTGGAGTACTTAGGCCATGTTATTACTAAGGAAGGAGTGACTACTGATCCTCATAAGATTCAAGCTATGGTGGATTGGCCTAGACCCAAGACTTTACGGGCTCTAAGGGGGTTCCTTGGTTTAACCGGCTACTATCGAAAGTTGTCACGACCCAAATCCGGGCCGCGACTGGCACCCACACTTATCCTCCTATGTGAGCGAACCAACCAATCTAACCCTTAACATTTCAATGTAATATCAACAAAGTAATGCGGAAGACTTAAACTTATTAATAAAACCAATTCAATAACTATGATTTCCC